CCCCCCCCCCCCCCCCCTCTCCGTCACCTCCTTGTTGTGTCATGTTCACAAGCAGCGCCTTACTTTCTAACGATGCCGCATTCAAAAACATTCTGAAATAAAACCGCTGGGTTGCCTCACCCTTTTCCCTTTTCTCTGTCTGGTATTTAACCATTTACTTTATTTGGGAACACCCCAACCTGTGGCGACTCTTCAAAAACTCATTTAAGCTTTTAAGAACCACAGGAATGCAGACATTTTCATTATGTAACGCTGTTCATCTTTTGTATTCTGATGAAGCTATTACTGTCATTTTCTAAGTATGCATGTGAGATCTGGTGTTTATTGTTTGGTTAGTGGCTGATTGAACTGCCGAAAACTCCCACTTAGTTATCATGTTATTGTTGGGTCATAAACTATTTTCTGAAAACAGGTAGAAAATCTGCCAGTAGGCTGAGATTCATATTTCCAACCAAAATTAATATTTTCTAGATTCAAGTGTGATTTTCCGGGATCGTAACTTATTTCTAGAAGCTGCAATAAGAGAAGTTGAATCTCTTAAACCTTTCTTGTTTTCAGAAAAAATAAACCTCGAAGGCAACAACTGAGACCGAAAGAAACACCAGCGAGCGCAGATGTTGTTGCCGTGTGTGGCGCTGCACGTGGTTGTGAGCAACTTGAACTCTGGCCTCGCGGGACCACCATACAAACACACACCGTACCCTCCCCTGTGTGTGTGCAGTTTGATTCCCAGTGGGACACACACCCAGACAATGGGGATCAGTGCTGCTTCATTAAACCCAGTATGAGATGGGGCGACGACCCGGTAGGGAGGGGGTGAGAGGGGGGGCTGGTGCGCCTTTAGAGGGTCAGTGAGAGGGCGTGTGTTGTTTTTTTTTCCCCGGGAAAAAACAGAGGAGTCTATTCTAGGGACTGGAGGGATACAATGGGAGCCTTCTGGGCCTGCTGATGGTTTGTGATGGCACAATGGCTGATGGGGGTCGGTAGACGGGCGCTGGATGAACAGTCGTCATGTTCACACCACCAACAAACGGCCTCTTCTTTTGCTGTAATTATTTACGGAAGCCAACGACATTTATGGCTGCACTCGGAAACCTCAGCTATTGCAACATTCATGCAAACACGGTTCAACAATCAATATTGATCGAGCCCACGGAACAAAAAAACGCACACAGAGCCTCCTCAGCTGCTGTCTGGAACTCGATTGGTCTCGGTGGGATGGGTATCACGCAGAGAGCAGGGAGGAGGAGGCGAGAGCAGAGTGACAGAGTGAATGATGGAGAGGGAACACAGCGGAGCAGCAGGACGATCGACCGTGTAAAGTCTGAGGAGGAAATGTGACTTGGGCTGATAGTGTGACTGTTGATCAGGAGCTGAGAACATGTCGAGGCATGTCTCTAAGAATGTTAGATAACTACACCAGAGACTGCAGCTGGAAAGGCTCTCACTCACTCACTCACTCACACACTCACACACACACACACACTCACACACACACACACACACACACACACACACACACACACACACACAC